CGGACGACATGCCAGAAGCGGATCAGATGCCAGCCGTAGCCGAACCACTGTTAGACCCGTCCATTGACATCATCTCTTGCGGAACTCTGGAAGCGTTCAACAGATTTAATGATAGCAAATGTGACACTCATTTGGAAAAGGTTTGGCTTTTGTTTGGTTTAGTTTTTGCATTCAATTAATTGTTTGTCATTTGATTTAAAGACAACAAATGAGTCGATACTAGAAAAGTATAACCGATTGACCGAAGAAATCAAACAATTGGTTGATTTGGCCGCTAATGACACCAACGATTCCAACAAAGAGTTGTTAACAAAAGTGGACAAACTGTCGGAACAGTTGCAAGATTTACAAGTATTACGATTTGATAACACAAACACTTTGAAGGATGTCTTTGAATCGATTGACAAGTCTGTGGATAAAGCAAACATCAAAGACGATCAAAATGATAGTCAATTGAGATATAAATTATGGTATAAACCGGAGAAGAATACTCTGAACGAGTCGTCGAAAATCAATTCATTGGAACAGAGGATCAAAACGATTGAATCAGTTTTGGGCACAAATGAAAACAAGTTATTGTTATNCAAACATCAAAGACGATCAAAATGATAGTCAATTGAGATATAAATTATGGTATAAACCGGAGAAGAATACTCTGAACGAGTCGTCGAAAATCAATTCATTGGAACAGAGGATCAAAACGATTGAATCAGTTTTGGGCACAAATGAAAACAAGTTATTGTTATTAAATAATTACTCCAAAGATAAAAGTCTTAACGAAACGGTTCAGGATTTGAGTGCAAAAGTGTCTCAATTTGACCAAAATTCACTCGAAAGGGTTGACTCACGACTCCATATGATTACCGATAAATTATCTCAAATCGCGGACAGAAAACAACAATTTGAAGAATTGGAGAAAAATTCTAAAATCAATGAATTATTTGAATTGATTCAGAAAACAGAGAAAAGTCGTTCAACTCTTCCCACGGTTTTACAGCGATTGGAAACTTTAAATGATCTCCAGGAGCAAGGTGCAATATCTATCCATGTTTTCTATTTTAATTGCTATACAAATTGATATTCATTTTTGTTTTAATCAAAAAGCGCTTCAATTCTCGTCCGGTCTCTCATACTTGGATTCATTGGAGACACAGATCGCGGAGTCCATGAAAACTAATGAACAAGAACTCCACACTTTGAAGACATCGTTTGAAACCAATGTCGAGTCAATCAAACAATTACTTATAGATTTTGATAAGAGATTACAGGCATTGAAATAAAATTGGGGACATTTTTGGCAATTATTTTTATTGTATTATTCAATAAAACTAATTATCAATTCTTATTTAATGTTTTTAATAAAATCGTAATATTTTTGATGAAATTGTATTTTACAATAACTGTTTATAAAAGTTATTGTCATTTAAGGGTTTGAAATATAATTATTTGTGATTTTTATCGCTCTTTTCATTAGCGGAACTGTTTTGAGGAGTGGTATCCGATATGATTTGAACATCATTTTGAACAATGTTTACCGAATATCCAGATTTAGGGCCTCTATTTGGTGACTCTCTTTGTGTTAGTTCTGATGGTGTCATCAAATCAATGATATGGCGAACCTCTTCTCTCATGGCATACATGAAGGCCTTCGTCTCCCACAAGGCGTTACAGATCTCGACGTCTGACGTCTCGTCCAATGCTATCACTTCAGACAATATAGAGTTGACCCGAAAATACGAGGTCTTGATTCCGCTGCACCACGACTGGGCTCTAATCAATGCGTTCACAACTGGATTAACAAATTACTACTCCGTGTATTTCATAGTTGCCTACCTGTCAATGATGTGTCCCTCTGTAGCGCACACCTGATTTATCAACAGATTTCCCAATTGTCTCACATATAATGTATTTTTATACAATTCCCTGGCGTTGAAAGACCAGAGTCTCTCCACATCGACCGGTTCTGCGGGAGTTGTGGCGAACTTTCCGGTGCCAAACGAAACCACTAAATCCAGTTCTTGGGCCTCGTCTTCCCTCCCGACTGCTCGCAAAGAGTTGTTGTAAAGTTTGAATTCTGTCATCGCATCGAGTGTTGGGTTATTAGCGCCGAGTCCTCCGTCCAGAAACGGACCGCTCGCTCGGAAATAAGTGGGCGCCGCTCCCGACGCTCTG